TGGGAACATGCCCTGGAAGGTTTTATCTCCACTCCCATCCCCTTCCTTTCTCTCTCTACTTCCTGGCTGCCGAGAGCTGACCAGCCAGGCTCCTCTGCCATAATGTTCTGCTTCACCTCATATCCAGAAGAATGGAGCTGGCTGACCACAGATTGAATCTTCAGAAACTGAGCCAAAGTCAATTTTCATCCTTTAAGTCATTCACATCTTTATTTTGTTCACAGTGATGAAAAGCTGACACCAATCTTGAAGATTTTTCTCCTATTTTTTAAAAGTTATATAATTTTACTAGAAGTCCATTATCTGTTTGTAATTCATTTTTGTTTAAGATGAAAACTTTGGTTGGGTACACAGTTGTGCACACCTGTAATCCTAGTGGCTCAGGAGGGTGAGACAGGAGGATCTCAAGTTTGATGCCAGCTTCAGTAACTTAGCAAGTCCCTGTCTCAAAATAAAAAAAAAATAAATAAATAAAGGATTGGGGATGTAGTGCAGTGGCAACATGCACCTGGGTTCAGTCTCTAATACCTCCAACAAAATGTTTAGATAGAGGTTTACTTTTTGCCTATGAATATTCAATTGTTTCAACACCATTTGCTGAGAAAGTTATCTTTTCTCTATTGAATTCTTTTGCAGTTTTGTCAAAATCATTTGGGCATATTTATATAATTTTACTGGTGTCATTTCTATTCTGTTCAATTGTTCTATGCATCTATACCTTGGTTAATACCACGCAATCTTTTCATATTAAATAATGTCTCGTAATAGGGCAGAGTGATTTTCCCACTTTATTCTTTTTTTGAAATTGCTTTAGCTATTTTAGTTCATTTGTTTTTCAAAAAAATAGAATGATTCTATCTAAAAAAAGTAGAATGATTCTATCTAAAAAAATCTTTCTGGGATTTTGATAGGAATTGAACCAAATTTATATTACGCTAATTTGTGGGGAAATGCATCTTTATTAATGTTGAGTCCTTCAGTCTATGAACAGGGAATGTCTCTAGAACTTCTCTGATTTACTTTGTGTTTTATAATTTTCAGCATGGAAGTCTTATACATGATTTCTTAGATTTATACCTATTTAATTTTTTGAACAATTGTAAATGATATTGTTTCAATTTTGGTTTCCAAGTGTCCATTGCTAATAATAGAAATGTACAGTCATTTATATCTGTAGGTTCTATATCCAAGGATTCAGCCAAACCTCGGATTGAAAATATTTAAAAAATGCATCTCTACCGAAGATGAACAGACTGCTTATTGCCATTGTTTTCTAAACAATATAGTATAACAACAATCTACATGCATTTATAGTATATTAAGTGTTATATGTAATCTAGAGATATTTTAAGTATAGTGGAGATGGGTGTATGTTACTTACAAATTCTATACTATTTTATACAAGGGCCTTGAGAATTCATGGATTTTGGAATCTTTGGGAGTCCTAGAACCAATCCCTCATGGATACTGTGGGGTTACTATAATTGATGATTGTAAGTTTATCTTCTACCCTGAGACCATGCTGAATTAATTTACTAGTTTTAATCTACCCTGTGACCATGCTAAATTAATTAATTAGTTTTAAGACTCTTCCTTTCTTGCTTCCTTTCTTTCTTCCTTCATCCCATCCCTCCTTCTTTCCTTCATTCCCTTGTTCTTCCTTTTCTTCATCTTCTTCCTTTTTTTTAACTCCCTAAGATTTACTATACAAGTGTATCATCCAGAAATAAGAATGTTTTTTTCTTTTTTCTTTTTTTAAATTTTTTTGTTTTAATTAGATACACATGACAGTACAATGATCTTGACATATCATACATTTAAATCAGATGGGGTATAATTTCTCATTTTTCTGAGTGTACAGGTTGCAGAATCACATTGGTCATGCAGTCACGTATATACACACAGCAATAATAATGTCTTTTTTATTCTGCTGTTTTTCTTCTTTTTTCATTTGGATAGCTTTTTATTTCTTTTTCATGCCTTATTGGACTAGTTGTAACTTCCAGCTTTATGCTAAGAGTATTATTACTATTAAGTGCAGTGACAACAGTAGAATGAATCTGACATAATTTCCTATGTTCAAATATAAATACATGACCAGTGAAACTCCACATCATGTTCAACCACAAGAATGGGGTCCTAATAAGAACATGTTATATTCTATGTATAATAGGTCAAAACACACTCTACTGTCACATATTTCTAAAAAGAGTAAAAAAAAGTAGCAATAACAGGCAGGTTTGCTGTTTTCATTCTTAAAGGGAAAGGACTCAGTCTTTTACTATTAAGTATAATGCTAATTGTAGATTTTAGGTAGTTCTCTTCATCAAGTTGTAGAAATTCCTGTCTATTGATAGTTTTCTGAAAGTTTTTAGTGTGTGTGTGTGTGGGGGGGGTGGTATTAGAGATTGTAACCAGGAGTTCTTTACCACTGAATTATACCCCTAGCTCCAATACTTTCAATTTTTTAAATTTTGAGACAGATCTTGCTAAGTTACTGCAACTGGCCTTGAAATTGTGATCCTCTTGCTTCATCCTTCTGAGTCACTAATATTATAGGGGTGCCACCCTGCTTGGCCACAATAGATATTTTTGAATGATTTTTAAAAATCAGTTGATGTTAGTTTTGCATTTCTACAACACAATACCTAGGGTAAGCTATTTATGAAGACAAGAGGTTTATTTACCGCACAGTACTGGAGGTTTATAGTCCAAGATCAGGTAGCTCCAATGGTTAAGCCTTTGGTGAGGATTTAACAGCAGATAGTGTCACATAGCCATGGAAGTACATGTGGGAGGGAGCATCACATCTCAACCATGCAGCACAGAGATTGGTGTTTGGCTTGTTCCTTTCTTGAGAACTATTTTACTCTCTAAGGCCATGCTCCCAATGACCAAAACAACCCCCAGTAGGCCTCCCCTTCTTAAAATTTCCACCACTTTCCAATATTGCCCCTGAGGATCAGGCCTTTAACACATGAGCTTCTGGGGTCAGAACCAGATCCACACTATAGCAATATAATGATGTTATTTTTTTCTTTTTGGGCCTATTAATGTAGTAGATTGCATTAGTTGAGTTTCAGATATTAGATCAGCTTTTCTTCCCTGGAAATAGACCCTACTTGGCCATGGTATATAATCCTTTTTATATATTGCTGAATTCTGTTTACTAATATTTTGTTAAGGATTTTTACATCTATATACATGAGAGATATTGGCATCTTTTTTGTATTATCTTTGCCTAGTTTTCGTATCAGTGTATTACTGGCTTCATAAAATGAATTAAGAATGCTTCTTTCTTTCTTCTGGAAAAGATTGGGTTTAATTGGTGTTGATTTTTCTTTAAATGTTTGTGAGAATCTCTAGTGAAACTATGTGGTCATGGAAATTTGCTTTCTGGATTTTAACAATTACAAATTGTACATTCTTTGTAGTTTCATATTGGATGAGTTTTGTGCTTTTTGAGGAGTTAGTCCATTTCATCTAAGTTATCAAATTAATGTTTGTAAAGTTTGCAGGATTATCTCATTACCTTTTTGATGTCTGCAGGGTCTTTTGTGATATTTTCTGTTTCACTCTAGATTGTATGAATTTCCTGAGAGTGTCAGATTCAATATCTGTGTATTTTTTAATTATATAAGTTATGTATTAAGATATTTTTGTTTTAAAATTCTGACAATTCAGAGCATAAAATACAAAAGTAAAACCCTCTTGCATTGCCTTCCCCACTTGTCCCTTATAACATAAAACTGGTCTGCTTCTGAGGATAGGCATTGATTTCACTACTAACCATGAGTCTAGGCCCCTTCTCTAACTCAAGATGTCTCTGTGTGTTACCTAGGCTTGTGCACCGGGACAGGTTTAGAGTGGGCTCATTTGGTGTAGTTTCAGGTGCAAGAGCCCAAGCAGCTCCTGGAGAATATCTAATCTGTCAACAAGAAATAGCATGTCATTTTTAAATAACTCTACTTAATTTATAATAAATGTTCTGCTGATGTCCTGTCTGGATTCCATCCAGATTTATTTGGAAATCTTGCAATACCATGATTTCAAAGCTAGGATAAGGGAATGGTCACTACTTATAGGAGCTCACAGCTCTTGTGTTGATGTCTGCTCAGTTGCCATGGCTCCTATAGGTTTGGTGACTCCTGTGCAGGAGTGGGACAGTTTGCCATTCGGTCTGTGTGAACAATGCCGCAATCTCCTCTTGGAATTTTTGCCATCTCTCTCTCTCTCTCTCTCTCTCTCTCTGTAGCCACATTTCAGGGCCCCTCTCCCCATCTCCTCCACAGGCTATAGATCTCTTCATTTCTGACTTAATCAGCATCTTGACAATTCTAGTAGAGTAAGAAAGAAGTGAATGCATAATCCCCCCAAATCCTGCTTCTGTTACGTTTTGCCTTTTTTCTATGCAGTTAAGATTTTAGAAATAAAAGTCAAATTTTATCAGCAAATTATTGTTGCTTTCAGCCCTGCTGTACTCCAGCTCTGAGCGATGAACACAGAGCCTGCTACCTGCTACCTGCTTGAGGGCAGAAAGGAAAGGGTGAAATAAAAGGAGATAAAGAAAAAAAAATATGAAACAGAAACATGTTAACATCTAAAAATATTCTGCCACATTTGAAAGATGAGAGAGTTGAATTCATTAGAGAGGTTCCATTGGGAAAAGGAATTATTCTTTTAATCGGGGTTTCTGCAGTTGAAGAGGCTGTGTTGGGCTGAGGGCCACAGAATGCTCTGATGTCATCACTGAGGTAAGACAATCCTCCTGTGGGCCTGGTGACCTTTGAACCTTAACAGCCCTGCAGTATAGTGAGCACTGGGCAGGGCTGCTGGTTCGATCAGTGGTTTGAGTTCTCCAGTCATAGAGAAGACTTGACGATTTTTATTTGTATTGAATAATTTCAATGGATTTCCTGAGAGTCAAGAAGGGCCAACCTGTAGGGATAAGGGGGAACTGGACACTAAGCATCCTCTAAGGGATTCTCCTAGCTGATATTATGAAACGGAGACAAAAGAGGAAACATTTGGAAAAGGAAGAGTCCCAGGAAACTGATGAGAAGGGAAGAGGTACGTGCTGGGAAGCTTCTCTGGGGTACAGGGGAGGCCTGCCAGCCTTAGGCTTCCCTAGGAATGAGGGACTGAGGTGAGCAGGTGCCTATGAAGTAAAGGGAGACGTGTTATCAGCTGATGCTGCTGGATCCATCTCAAGGGTCCCAAAGGTGTGAAAAGGCACAGAAAGTCCAGATGCCCCAGGCAGATAGAAAGTCAGCCCTTCTGGTCTGTGAACTTCTCTCCTGGGGGCTGGCACCTGGACTCCAGGCACATTGTGTGTGTGTGTGTGTGGGGGGGGCTTCCAGCTACACAACTCAGATGCAGTTTTTCTGAGTTCTTTCATATTCTCTTTATTTATTTTTCCTTTTGGGTCACTTGGGAGTTGTGAAGTGTGAGGGACAGCGAGAGAAATCTGTGAGTTACACTGTCCCTTTTAGGAAAGAAAAAAGATTAGTGGCTGAATTAAAGGTCTTGTTGAAAATTGTCTTGGGAAATGACATGTTTGTTAGAAAAGTAGATTAAGACTTTGTCTAAGAATGGTGACATACAGAAAGCATGGAGATTTTATTCTTTTAGCAGGAAGAATATACCATTGGAGTTTGTGGATGCACAGGTTGGATGCTTCCCAGAGGAAGGGAAGGGGTGGGAAAATGCCTTAAGGAGACTCAGACCTTAATGGATGGGGCAAGACACCTCAGGATCCTGGGGGAAACAAAGAACACGAAGAGCTGCCAACTTACTTTCTAGGTTGTGTGATGTGCTAAATGTAAACAAGTACGTGGCCTTGATGTGGGGCGGGGTGGTAGTCATGTGTAGCAGGTGGGACAAAGTGGATCCTATCCCAGAAATCCATCTGGAGGGATTTGCCCAAGTCAGAGCCCAGCAGCTTTCATCAGGTCCAGGCTCCTGTAGTGTAAGAATATGCCTCCCCTTGGAATGGGGACCTGGAGTGGAGGCATATTTCCAGGGGCCTGTGACAGGAAGGGGAAGGCCAAGGTTTCTTCTACCCCATCTACCTTTACATTGTAGAATATTTTCTCTTCTTACAAGTGTATTAGGAGAGAGAATAGTGGGGATAATGGGGACAGAGTGGTCACTGATTGGGAAGTTTGCAGGGTTTATGGTAATAAGTGAACATTAACATGCCTAGACCTGGGTGATGCTCAAAACATGTGACAGTACATACAGAGTTCTCATTTAGGGTCTCCCATGAGGTAGTCTCATGCCCATATGCACCCTGATACAGGAAAAATGTTACACATTTCCACACACATCTGCTTGATTAAACCACACACAGCACATATATAAGCATACTACTCCTTTATTACATGTTCACACAACCCAGGGGTATAACACTGCTCTCTTTCTACACTGAACTCTGGAGAGAGAGGAATGTGTGTGTGTGCATGTGCACGCACGCACCTTCATATGTGTGTGTGTGCGTGCGCACCTTCCTATGCACAAGTACACATATCTCTTCAATTCTCACACAAAGATAGCTACATTAAAACTACCTCTAAATATTTCTATAAGAACCAGTCTCAGGTCATGCCACATCTGTAACACAACCTGTAGCCACACCAGGCCTACTTTGTTAAAACCAAAATTAAACAGATTCACTGACACACCTTTATTAGAGTTGCCAAAAAATAGAATGTCTAGTTAAACTTGAATTTCAGATAAAACTCCAATGACATTTTAGTATGAGAAAGTCCCTAATATTCTATATGACCAATTTATACTAAAGAAAACTGGGATTCATCTTAAATTTAAATTTAACTGGGTATCAGGTATTTTTGTTTGACAGATCTGGTGGTCCTTACATTCTCACCATGATCTGTCCTATTACATACTTATATGTATTTCTGTTTAGTGCCTGCCTTTCCAATTGAAATAGAAGTGCCAATTAGAAGAGGGACTCTGTCTTGTTCAGTATTCCCAAACCTAGAATAGTGGAATAATGCCTGATACATAGTAGCTATTTACTAAATATTGTTCACTGAATGAATGAATGAATGTACATCACAAACAAGCCTCACTATATTGTCAGGAAATGTTAGGTATCACATTATTACTGAATTATGAACACAGCATATATACAAACTCCACACTTGCCCCACCAGAAGCACATCATTCTTATACTTTACACATATTCACAGTAAATCACACAGGCATTCATTCCTAATAAGATATTAATAAAATAACTGTTGAGTAATTCAATACTGGAATATCCACAAGGAACCGTACTCTAAACTGTGTGTCTTTACCACATCTGACACATGTCAAACACTCGTAAATATTTGTTGGATAGGTGACTGAGGTACAAATGTGTCCAACCCCCCGAATCACTGTGACTTTCATACTTTTCTCAGGAATGTCAAAATCACAAGAGGATGCCCCTCATCTTGAATCCACTGGAGTGGCCAAGATGTGCCGCCTAGGAGGAAGGGAGTTCTCCTCTGCCTCGGAATACTTCTCCTGTGTGTCTTCTCCATACAAGCTCTTCCATGGTAGTAGAGGTACAGGGATGCTTGAGTGTGAGACTTGGGTGTATGAGACACTTTGGGTGCTGGGCTCCTTAGGTATTAGAGTTTGGATGAAGGAGTCCTTGATTGTGAGACTGTTTGGATATGGGGACTTGTAGGTGTGAGGCTCCTTGAATGTGGGGCTTCCTGGGTATCAGACTTTGAGTACAGTGCAGGAAGCATAGAATTTAAAGCATGAGGCTGAGAAGCAGCCCAGGGAAGTTGGAGGTGGTCCGGACTCTGTGAAGAGGCCCAGGTAGAATTCAGAACTGTTAGGAGAGCTCACTGTGGGAGATCTTGAACCCTGGCATGATCAAGGTGGGAAGTCAGAGAACAATGGCCTGAAAGGTTTGGGTTTGGGGTGTCAGGCCAAGGGACCAGATTAGGGACCTTAAGAGAAACTGTGTGGGATTTGTGGCTTCTAGAGGACAGCGTTCCCCAGAATAGCTCAGTAGGACCACACAGCTCAGGCCTGTATACCTCACACATATAACCATACTCTGCATGGATACATACATCCTTAGCACATTCACAAATCCAAAATGCATGACCTACAAGGCCATTATCACAGCCCACATTCCACAAACAACACAGCAGCAAAGTCACAAAATACCATATTCCTAGTATGCAAACCCCACCTCTATTCCACACATGCCATAATCCTCACTATCTCACTCAACACTTGTGTGTAGACATTCCCCAATATCTTTATACACACAAATGACACCACCCACATCACCCCAGAATACAAACAATGGATAGCAAACCTATCACACACCTGGATCATACCATGGACCCTCTCTCCTCTACCATGCATATTCACAGTTTTGCATTCTCGGTTTCCAGCAGGCTCTGTGCATGTTCTTATGTTTCTAATTTCCTTTCCCAGGAACCCGGAAATTACAAGACAGTCCCAAGCCTAGATCACCCCTAACCCAGTTTCAAAAACAAGGGGAGACTCTTCCCCACTCCCAGAATAACTCCTTCTCAACCCATTCATCTTATAAGACCTGTGTGTCCTCTCTGTGTATGAACAAAGAGGAAAAGGACATGAAAATATACTACATGCAGGTAAAAATGAAAAAAGGTGTAGCTGTCTCCTGGGAAACAGAGAAAACCTCAGAGTCCCTAGAAAAGCATCCAAGGATGGAAGAAGTAAGCCTTCCTGAGAAAGTGCGAGTAGGTACTCCCCCCTCTGATGTATCCACCAGAAACCTCCTGTCTGACAGCGAGCCCAACGGGGAGGAGAAAGAACATGAGGAAAGGGCAGAGGCAGATAGCTCGCCAGGGTCACCTGCAGTGGAGGAGAGACCCAGGGCCAAGACACCTGACTGGCTGGTGACCATGGAGAATGGTTTCAGATGCATGGCCTGCTGCCGGGTCTTTGCCACCATGGATATCCTCCAGGAGCATGTGAAGCATGGGATCAGGGAGGGCTTCAGCTGCCACGTCTTCCATCTCACCATGACTCAGCTGATAAGCAATGTAGAACCAGAGAGTGCCCAAGAAGAGGAGGATGAGGATGAGGAGGAAGAGGAGGAGGAGGAACAAGAGAAGCCAGAAGACAAGGAGAATAAGGAGGACCAGCCCACAAGGGAAGACCCTGGCCTGAAGAGACCCTGGAGCCAATGTCCAGGCTGTGTGTTTCATTCTCCAAAGGATAGGAAGTGAGCAGGGGCTGGGTCTGCTAAGGGAGCTCTGCTTTCTCTGAGCCAGTCCTGTCTCTCCAGTTCAACCCCACGAGGGAGGGGTGGGGGTGGAGGTTCATCCAGCTTGGGGAATCATGGAAGGGGGCATAACTGGGCCCCCTGCTTCCTGCCCAGACATCTCACCGGCCTATAAGTTGGGATTTGTCTTGAACTTTCCAGTTCCCGCAGGAAATTCAGAGGATTTCTAAGGGCTAGCCGAGCTCCTTCCCTCATTAACTAAGTGTCTTCCTCTATTTTGATTTCCACATAGCAACTGAGATTCATGAGCCAGAAGATCTTTGAAGATGGTTCAGCCTTCTCTTGGGAGAGGTAAGGCCTGAGGCTTGCACAGTTTTCCAAGCCTACCTTAGGAAGACTCGCAGGGAGAGAAAGAAGGGGCTGCAGGGATGCGCTGGGTTCTGTCATGGCTCTGCAGATCCGTCAGCTTGTGGTACACTCAGTGCTTCTCGGGGGTTTGAGCTCCATTTGGTTAAATGAAAAGTTGGAGATTTCTGACTGGGAAGTTTCCCACTATATCCATGACTGTCCTCAACTTTAAGAAGAAATACTAGAGTCCCACTAGGCAGGTAGAGCTCAGCATGACCTCAAGGGCCAGGACTGGTTTGGAGAGAGGACCAGTGCTCAGCAGGATCAAAGGTATGGGGTCTGTGAGTCTTTGGTCTGAGCTTTGATTTCACTCTGGCCCATGAACATGGCCCTGTGACGGAAAGGGAAATGTGGAAAGGGAACAACCTAGAAGTGATTTTTCCCCCAACCCGGAAAAGTTCTAGAACCTTCATTTTGCTGTAATTTAATCGGACTGAACTGAACTGGTGTGGATGGCCCCAGGCTTTGAGATTAAAATGAAGGGTTATTGATGGGCAGAGCTCATGTCACTTCTTGTCCCTTCCTGCTCTGCCCCCTCACTTATTTTCTCACTCCCAGGGAGAAGAGATAATAGCAGATAGAAAGCCAATAGAATAAAAGAGGATGAAGGGACCACCGCTCAGTCTAACATATAAACATCATATACAATAAAGATTGTTTTCAAAACCTTGCCTGTCTGTATTATTTAATTAACAAATTTATCCACCTATCTATCCTTTTGTCTCTAGAGTGGTTTGTGAGTGACATTTCACATCAGTACTAGTGATATCTACCAGCATTTTCCAGAGACAGCACTAATTACCTGGGATTTATTAGGCTTCTCTGACCATTTTTCCAAGACTGGCTGCTACATTTCATATGGGATCATGACGAACTCCACACTGAGCTCAAATAAAGTCACTAGGAAATACTGGGCACAATGGAAATGGTTGAGTGAGGCTGAAGGCATTGAGCAGAGGCCTGGAGAGGATTCTGTGTGTCCCTCAAGGTTATCTCAGAAGATGGGCTTTATTGGTTTTGGCTTTATTAGGATACACCAGGACAGAGGGAATTTCTGTCTTGGAGCTGTTCATGGAGCAGGTTCCTCCTGGGACGATGAGACTCCTTTATAGCACTTGCAAAGAGGCCAGATTTTGGGGAAGAAATTGCTACATTAGGAGTTTAAGCCAATCAGTTCTGATATTTCCAGTTCTGAGGTCAATATTTCAGATTTTAAATGCAGTCTTACCTGGATTCCCAAGGTTTGATCTCATCATCTCTGAACCTTATGCTCACATCACTGCTAACCACCCACTAGAAAAACAAGTGTCTGAGGCACTGAAGACTGATTTTGACGCATGAGGTTGTGCGTCGTCTTTCCAAAGTGAGGGTGGAGTAACATCTCCCTCATCTTAATGGGGGCAAAGCCACGCCTTAGAGAACTGACAGAGTTAGAAGGAAATAATTTGAAATTCAGGGATTTTGTCAGTTTAAATTGAATAATAGCCAACTCCAAAATCCCACAGGTTCTTTGAGAGCCTATAAGGGATCTTCTATGGGGCTTTATTTAATCAATAAAGTATGTTATTATTTCAATAAGAATAATCTTGTTTCCTAACCACTTCCATGCTCTCATCCTCTGCATCTGGGATATAATATCTGCATCCCCCAAGCCTACTTTGTCATTTCAAAGAATTCAGATTGTGAGAATTAACTCACCCTCGCTTACCCACACCACCCTGTGGGGAATTCTCTAACAGCTTCTGCACACTCTAATTTTCACTCTTTTCCCATTTCACCTGCTGTTGAACCCACCAAGATTGGAAATGCTATCTCATTCCTCTTTTCCTTGGTCTATATCAATTTCTCTCCTTTCCTCGGAATGTTTTGTACTCCATCTTCCAATGACTGCTTCAAACACCTAGGATTTACTTCCCATCAATTGTCAGGATATTGGTTATAAACATGAAACTTTGAATTGCTGCTCTTGCTGTGATGGACATTGGCCTGCAAGCACCGAGGTGGACAATACAAGAGCCTATGGGTAGGAGTCCAAGTATTTCAGGAAGCAGCTCTTGATGCGCTATCATATTCTAATAAGAACTGCATTGACAAGCTCATGTCCCCTACTGTGAGGTAGGGACCTGTGACTTGCATTCTCTTCTGACCAAGACAAGTGCTCACATTAATCACACCAGACCCTGTCTATGGCATCATGGGTAGAATAAATTCTGAATGAGTCTCTGAATCCCTGCTCAGAGTAAGTTTAAAGCCATACCTGAGCTCATATTTTAAGCTATTGGTAGGATTACAGGTAGAGTCAAGATAATTAAACTTCCCTCCCTGCAATCTACTTAATTAACTGTGGCAAATGAAAATAGGTAGGGATGTCTTACCAAAAGGGAATGGCTATCACCTACCACACACAGGCTACCTGGGAGTATAACCAAGTGTTACTGTCTTGACAAACACTATTAGGGGTAGGAGTCATCTGTCCCTAGTGATCCCACTGAGGATCTCGCTGTTTCTGTGTACACAGTCTTTGAACTTTCAGAGAGGCTCCCTTCTTTGCATGTCCTGTGTGGGGCATGGATTCTTGGGTGGGAACCCGAGATGCTAGCAGGGGAAAGAACCTATATTCTCTCTGTTCTGTCTTCCCTTTCCTTCCTCTGTAAGTCCTTTCTACGTTTTTGTGAGGCTGGTATCTTCTATTTCCTAATTTACCAAGTCATTCTAATTTACACTCCAAACACTGTCTGCTTCTTTCCCATGCATGTAGACACAGTTTCTCGTTTTATCAGAATATTTGATTGAAACTCTCAGGAGGTAAAAGTAATTGCATTTTATCTTCTAATTTCATCAAAAATAGGATTAAAATATTTAGATATCAGGGGAGGCTTCTGCCATAGCTCTGAGGGAAAGGTAGGAAAATGTGAGTGCGTTCTGTTCATCTCCAGCAAGGGACTGGTGATTTAGAGCATTTCCCTCTGAGCACCATCACTCTCTGGGTGCCACGTTCCCAGCTATCAACCCCAGCCAATATCTGTCCTAGGATTTGTTTGTTATTTGAATGTTTTTATTATGAAATATTTCAAATGTGATGAAATTTTTTTGATAATAAATACCTATGGAGACTTCATGAAACTTTAGTATTTTGCCCATTTGCTTCAGATGACTGTAAAATAAAAAATAATTACAAATTTGAAATTCCTTGGGGTTTTATTGCCTTACATATGCTGAGTTGGAGTTTTTTTTTTTTTTTTACTCCCATGTGTGTTTTATACTATTATGTATGTGTTTATAAGAATGTTTTGAGTAACAGTTTACATATAGCATTGTGTATACTTCATATATTATTTTGCAATTTATTTCATCCTCAAAAAACATGTTTTTCACAGTGGCACACGCCTGTAATCCCAGCAGCTCGGGAAGCTGAAACAGGAGAATTGTGAATTCAAAGCCAGCCTCAGCAAAAGTGAAGTGCTAAGCAACTCAGTGAGAACCTGTTTCTAAATAAAATACAAAATAGGGCTGGGGATGTGGCTCCGTGGTCGAGTATCCCTGAGTTCAATCCCTGGTACAAAAACAAAACAAAACAAAACCCTTGTTTTTAAGATTATCCATTTTGATACATATCTTTATAGTTCATTAATTTTTACTTCTGTATTGTAGTTCATTTTATCAGTATTGACAAATTGACAAATTTTCAATGTGTTTTGGTGGAAGTTTGATTGTGCTCAACTTTCCTCTATTACAAATAAGTGGACTCTGAATCTTTCTCTAGGACATATACCAGAAGTTCATTTTGTATCCACCTATGTAGATTTGTAAGTTTATCAGTTATTGTTACAAGTATATTTTTTCCTTCATTTAAATCTTTTTTTTTCTTTCTTTGTCCTTCAATAATCATTGAAGCATTTCTCCACAAACGTTCTATATATTTTTTTTTTGTTGATTTAGTACAAGGTGTCTTTTCTTTATGTTCCTTTTGTGCGTGAGATTCTATTACATTTAGAAATTAATTATTATTAATACATATTTGAGACCTTGATCCTATATGTACAAACCTTGCTGAAATCTTTTAGGTGTAAGAATTATACAGTAGCATACTGTACTTTTCTATGATCAGTCATATTAAATACAAATAAAAACACTGAGGTTCTTTGCTTTGTACTTCTTTCTGCTTTTTAATTTTTCTTCCCTTTCTGAACATGATATGACCTTTGTTACAACAGTAAATACTAATGACCACAAAGAATATAATTTCTAAAAAATGATGAGTGTGGGATGACATCAAATTAAAAGGCTTCTGCAGAGCAAAGGAAGTAAGAACGTGAAGAGAAAGCCTACAGAATGGGAAAAAATCTTGGCCAGCTACTCCTCTGGCAGGAAATAAGGTCCAAGATATATAAAGAACTAAAAAAAGAAAAACACCAAAAACCACCCACAAATAACCCAATCAATAAAAATGTCAAATGAATTAAACAGACATTTCTCAAAAGAAGAAATTCCAATGGCCCCAGCAACCAGGGGAATGCAAATCAAAAACTACATTGAGATTTCCTCTCACTCGCTAGACTGAAAAACATCAAGTATATACACCATAGTAAATGCTGG